GGTAGATAAATATATGCTTTTTCATGAACGAAAACAAGTGCAAAGTGCATGTTTAAAGTATGTGTTTACATTGTAATTGTATCAGTTAAAATTCAATACTGATACCATTTAACCTCACTTAAGTAATGTTAAATCCCCTTCAAACAATATTTAGAAAAAGTGCCTTAATTGACTGTTCTTAAATTTACAATATATATATCTTAATGTAATTCAATTTACAAATTATAATAACCCATCAATATCTATGACTTATATCAACTTTTATCCTCTTTCTGAAAATTTCCCCCCTCCCCTCAACTGTAAAAAAAATACATGTATAAGAAAACTAATTATTTACTATAATTGGGAGACTATATATAATGCAATGAACTTAATGATTTCACCTTGATTTCTTAACTGCAACAGTGCGAGCCATGTAAATAAACAATAATAAAAAATGTCAGGCTCCTTGAATTTTGTTGAATTTCAACTGAAAGTTTGAAAATTTAACAGATTTGATATATAAAGCACATGTTAGGAAATTTGACAGGGACTTGAATTGTAAAGCACATATCCTTGAAAACCAAGTATTTTGTATTACATAGTTACTTCCGATAAGAGGCTCTTGTAATACTTCCCTTTACAATCATCAAATTCATTGGTGACAATTTCATGTTCTCGTAAAAACCCTGTGAACTTTAACTTACATTTCATATCCGGAAAATTTAAACATTTAATTTTATTCCTCTATTACGGATGTTAATCCTTACAGAAAATATATTTTAAAATTCAAATTTCCCTTGTTTCTTTGTTTTAAGTTATTGTATTTTTAGATTTTGATTCACTGGCAATTTTTTTTTTAGAATACTGAACCTTAGGGCAACAACCTAATTTGTAAACTTATATTTTACATTTTTTTCAAAATTGATACAAAAGTACCTATCTAAATATATTAACAAGATTGTCGTTGTTCCAACATAACTTATAGGTGACTTGCCCTGAGGCAATTTACATACATTTGTATACCTGAGTGTAAAAAATCAACAAAGTGACAACATTTATAACCAACTTTTACAAATTAAGTAACATAAAGATAATGTGTATGGTATGATGGCCTGAAAAATCATTCATCTGTTAAATATTGGTAATGTTATATGTCTAAATAAGGAGCATAGCAATGGAATTTATGTACATGTTTCTATCGTCTTCTCCATGCTTTCCTACCTAGCTACATACAGTAAACATTTAAAATCTTCTTCTAAATCTATTTCTTTGCCAAAACTTCATGTGTCTTGAAAATCATTATCTATAATCCATCTTGGTCATTTGTTACTTCTTAAGCCATTTCATCAATAGTTGCCACCAAGTTGTGCAAGTGTACACAAGGTATATAGACAGACTTATTAAACTATTGCTACTCCTTTTTTCACAAGCGTATGCTGACTTGAATGTAGAAAGTTTAAGGCATCTGACAAAAGTCCTTCTGTAGAATCCCCCCAAGGGTGACTGGGGAATAGAAGTATGGTCACCATTGGTCTTCCTCCGACCGGCAGTAAAACCCGTGCTAAAGTGGGGCGTCCGTTTGGTTGTGCGGGATGTACAAATTTGCAGCCACGTCCGGTCAGAATGGGGACGTTAAATCCGATGCCTCGTGTAAAGAGAGTGTCACGCTCTTTGCACGTTAAGAACCCTTGCAACAACTCTATGAGGGGTCCGTAGGTGACCTGTTGCAAGGCTAAATTTCTGTCCCTATCAAATATACCCTCATTTCCCGTGGCAGTCTAAATTTCTCTGACCTTAATCCCTTAATCTATTACAGAACCTACCTATTGTATTTATTGTGAACTTGTTCTCGTCCTGAATATGCATGAAATATTTGCCACTGGACGTTAAGCAACCAACAATCAATCAATCAATCTGTAGAATCTTCAAGTCTTTGCATCCTGTTTCTTGAAATTCAGATACATCTCCTCTTTATTGTTCATGACAAGGGAGCTTTGACTTAAGTACTTTACTACTTAGTAATACTACATAAAACATCATTTGTTGTGCAAATTTTTTTTCTATATGAATTTCTTTTGTATGTGCAAAAGAAAAAAACTTTTTGCACAAGTAAACTAGAGGCTCCAAGGTGCCTGCATCACTCACCGAATTCATTTAAAGCAGTTTTCTGTAGATTCATGGAGTGCTAACTTTGATTTAATTTTCTATTAGGCAATTAATGATGAAAAATAATCATTCAGACAGCAAAGACAGTTGCCAAATGAGAAATAAAAGCTCAAACTGTCCTAACGAATAAGATAAGCAAAAAAACTAACAAAAACAAAAAAGCAAATAAAAAAAGACAGCTGAATCTTAGCTTAAAATGAACATAAAAATGCTGAAATGGACAATGTGATTTTTGTAATAAGAGAATTGTCAACACCAATGACACAGTTTGAGCATCATTATTCCCCAATTACACCAGTAACCTATTAAGATGAAATTGACAGAAATATATCTATTTTGTTAATGTACTTCCCTTTCGCAGATGAAATACTTAGACAATTTGATTAAACAGTTTTGTCAGTATAATATGACTGTTATTAGGCGGAGAAAAGAACCGAAAATCAATAAATGAGAAAACACAAAATATCAGTGTTTTTATTGTAATCTTGGCATTGATTTTGTAACAGTTGAAGTATCTGATGTTACCATGAAAAAATTTCTAGCTGATGACAAATATTATCGGTGACAGACGTTTAACAAATAAAATTAAGTTGCATATTAATGAGAAAAATAATACTATAAATGTCTGACATTAATGATGCCTATTTCTACTGACAATATTGGTCAAATGTACAAGTAGATCCCTATTTTAGAAAAATTATTATACAAATCAGGATTGCCTGCCAATGAGGGCTCTTGCCTATACTAATGCCATTCTACTGCTTTACCATGAAAAGGGCAACTCAGGGAGGCACTTGCATAATTTTTGTTCAGAAGTCCCTTTTAAAAAATTTTGATGAGTCTTAGCATCGAAAGATTTCCAGTTTTGAAGATTTTATGATGTCCAAAAGAAAATGATAAGCCATGGGCTCCCTTACATGAATTGCAAGCATATTTGGGCAACTGGAAAATTATTTTTTCAAAATTAACCAATAATTTGTTATCTTGATAAATAAAGCCAAATATTTTGTCTTAATTAATGTCTTATTTGACAAAGATCGATTGATTTTTGGTGGTTAACGGCACTTTCCAAACAATGGCTATTTCGTAGTAGCCACTTTTTATTGGTGGAGAAAGCCAGAGTGCCTGGACTTGACAAAGATGTTCATAAGTTGACCACAATATTAACTGTTTCTATCATAGAAATATTTTCCATTAAATTACATCTTAAATCAAATCAATACTTTTCTTACATCTGTTACAGTCTTTTAAACTAATGTCAAACAACAAAAGAATCGCTCCTTTAAATCATCTACTTGATTTAGGCTAAAAATCAATTAATACCAATGTAAAAAATGTTTCTTAGAAAAAAACATCCCTGTCTTTAGTCACACAACTCAATCCAATAAACTTATAATTCATTCCCAGAATAAATAATGTAATGGCTCCTAAATAGTTAAATGTCAAAGATCAAAACGATCCCACTCATATGAATTTAGAAATAAAAGTTTCTACAAGTAATACCATACCATATATAAATAAATATCTATAAATACAATATATATATAATTTTCAGAACTTTTGAACCACACATTTTTGGCCTAAAAAAATTTGAAAGAAAAGTTTATAATAGTTATAATGGACCTTCCTACGCATTTTCATTCTTGTTTTATACAAATGACCCTAACTTTAGGAACAACTTTCCCACCAAATATGCTCAGCTAGGTTTTAAAATGTTTTTCACCCCTCATTTTCCACAACAAAAAAATATTTAGAAAAACAAGATTTATCAAGTAATGAAACAGAATAATTGGTGTTTCATACAGTGCAACATCTGTCACACTTTGTTTTATAGAGGTAATGAGGTTTCAAATCCCATTGAAATTTTTAGCTACTATAAATTCAGACGTTATTGTATTTTTTTTATTACTGCTACATGTAATAAGTACAAAAAATGTAGATAAGGATAATTGCATTAATGAAAAACTTGCATATTTTTAATCTTTGGTCTTCACTACATGAGCCATAATTACAATATTCCTAAAAACTCATTTGAATGGTTGGGCAACTTTTTGCCTGTTTTTGTTTGCCATATTATAAACTGTTTCCTAAGGTAAAACACATCTATTACATATTTAGGCAAGCAAGATATAAAATAAAGGACTTTTTCATGATTATCTGATGGAGATAAAACTCAAATTTTTTTTAAGTACCTAATTCTACCTGAGCAATTGATTCAACAAATGATTTTCAACAGTCACAGATGAAATTAATATACAATTGACAGATTACAAAAAAAACTGGAAAACACGTGTATGGTTATGGTTGTAAATGATGCTCAATTTCTTTATACATGTTACAATTTACAGCTTTAAATTAGCAAACCAGACTATATTGGTTAATATTGGAACCAATAGTTCTATTAAACTTTGCTTTCAGTTGACATAGTTAGTGATGTGCTTATATTTTACAGAATTGAAATTTTAAAACATTAAAAAGTACAGACTTCATGTATTTTTTTTCATTCAATCTTTTGAAGGCTATTAGAATGAGTACTACCATGGTTTTACTAATTTCTTTTTACTTGGCAGTTTTCACTTTGGCAGTTTTTGCTCTTTCAGTATGTTAAACTAGATTAGTTGCATTTGTTATTTTCCCAACTTTCCATCCCTCAAGAAGTCAAAATGCTTACTTGTAGTTTCATTGAAATAATTCACCAAATACTCTTGTGGAATAACCTGCTTTTTGAACTTATGAGAAGGTTACAAATATCTGAATAGTTTTATACAGAAAACCAAGTTAACTTTTCCAGTAGTATTGTGCAATCCCAATTAGGAGAAGTGCTTCAAGATAAAAATAAAAAAATATCATACCATGTCTTTACATACCCTGACATGGGTGGCATAGGTGGCATTTTATTTTGTAACTGTGAATGCATTCCTGGTGACTTGGAATCAGGAGTTCTGTTTTTCTGGTGTCGCAGTAATAACAGTCTTCCAAGTTCCTCACACCACATTGACAGTAAGGCTGAAAATAAAAATATATCACATTATTCATGTGTCACAGCAAATACTGTAAACCATAAAATGAGTAAGCCTACAGCAGGTTTGTCCTATTCTCCAGTACCATTTGTTTTCTTACTTTGTAAAATCATGCTGCGTTTCATTATCAACCTTGCTAATGGAAACTAAAGATCGAGGAGAAGCAAAATTACAAGATTTTATTTTCTGATTAACATTGGCCATACCAATTTAGGTTCTGTTTGATAGCAATATCAGGAAGCCTGTATTATTAGTATACCAGCACTGCACAGAATACTTCACTACAAATATCAAAATTAAATATTGACCCAATGTACAAACACCTACGCATTCGATATTTTTTTTAAAAACGTTTTAAAAAAAAATTGTCTCTTATTATTGTTGAATAAATAAATGGACATTATATTACATGCAATGTTATTCTAATGAATGGCTGTTAAATAGTGTGACTTTTTATCTTCCTGTAGTTTATTTTTAACTCAACAATTCATTTTCTTAAAACATGAATAGGAAGTAAACTGCACTTCCAATGTATCGTACGATTATTAATTGTTGTAATCGACCATTAAATAATTAACACTGGATAATTTCTTTTCATTCTCAACTCTTCCTGATTTTCAATTTAAATTGTCAATTTCCTTATGTAATTACTTTCTATGAGTATATCTACCTGAATATTAAATATGATTAAATCAATAAGCAACATAGAAAAACAACATATGTTTCAGGTTAATAGATCATATGACTTGATGGTACCATTTACAACAATAAAACTTCCAATACATCGAAAAAATGCTTGTTTAAGCATTATACTCAGGTGGAAAAATGTGTTGATTTTTAACAAAATTATGTCCATATAATAACCTCGAGTACAAATAGATTAGCAACACAGCAGCTTGACAAATGATCAATGACAAAGTACTTGTCAAAGGTTAAAGATTTATGGTATGTGAAATTTTGATATATAAAAACAACAAGAGTGCACACGCTGAAATGTCTCGCCTTCTTTACTAATCATTGATATTATGTTGATAGTCCTAAATATAAAGCTTTATTACAACTGTCACATAAACTTAACATTAACCAAGTAAACTAAACATTGACCAATGAACCATGAAAATGAGGTCAAGGTCAGATGAACCATGCTAGGCAGGCATGTACAGCTAACAATTCTTCCATACAACAAATATAGTTGACCTATTGCTTATAGTTTAAGAAAAACAGACGAAAACACAAAAACTTAACACTGAGCAATGAACCTTGAAAATGAGGTCAAGGTCAAATAAAACCTGCGTAACTGACATATAGATCATAAAATATTTCCATACACCAAATATAGTTGAACTATTGCATATAGTATTAGAAAAAAAGACCAAAACTCAAAAACTTAACTTTGACCACTGAACCATGAAAATGAGGTCAAGGTAAGATGACACCTGCCAGCTAGACATGTACACCTTACAATCATTCCATACACCAAATATAGCTGACCTATTGCATGCAGTATTAGAAAGAAAGACCAAAACTCAAAAACTTAACTTTGACCACTGAACCATGAAAATGAGGTCAAGGTCAGATGACACCTGCCAGCTAGACATGTACACCTTACAATCATTCCATACACCAAATATAGTAGACCTATTGCATACAGTATAAGAAAAACAGACCAAAACACAAAAACTTAACTATAACCACTGAACCATGAAAATGAGGTCAAGGTCAGATGACACCTGCCAGTTGGACATGTACACCTTACAGTCCTTCCATACACCGAATATACTAGACCTATTGCTTATAGTATCTGAGATATGGACTTGACCACGAAAACTTAACCTTGTTCACTGATCCATGAAATGAGGTCGAGGTCAAGTGAAAACTGTCTGACGGGCATGAGGACCTTGCAAGGTACGCACATACCAAATATAGTTATCCTATTACTTATAATAAGAGAGAATTTAACATTACAAAAAATCTGAACTTTTTTTTCAAGTAGTCACTGAACCATGAAAATGAGGTCAAGGACATTGGACATGTGACTGACGGAAACTTCGTAACATGAGGCATCCATATACAAAGTATGAAGCATCCAGGTCTTCCATCTTCTAAAATATAAAGCTTTTAAGAAGTTAGCTAACGCCGCCGCCGCCGTAGCCGAATCGCTATCCCTATGTCGAGCTTTCTGCGACAAAAGTCGCAGGCTCTACAAAAATTACAAGTTGAATTCATCAATTCTGATTTACAGGACTCAAATATTGAAACGATTTCTCGAAGAAAGTGTCAAGAAACCCCACAAATGTTTTAATTACCAATCCGTGGAATTAAACTGAAACAGCATTGTTTTAAATAACTACAAGTATGCCAACAGTTAATTTGAATTACATTTCTGTAATTACAAATATGCTTTTTTAATAGATTCTCAATAAACACTCATGTTTTAGAAAACACAATGTCCAGGGAGGTAGTTCTATAAGGATAAATATCTGAACACTTTACAGTGCCATCCAATCACTCCTATTGGACACCAAAAGTCAAAAGATCAGCCAAACATACAATCTTAATGTGAAACTTATTACTGTGTCATGTTTAAATGCATTTCATATAAATTTAATTAAATCAATTTCATTACATATGTTGTGTTTGACCTTCAACTTTTATGTTCTAATTCATAAAATAAGTATATTTATAATTTTCTCTATGTTAATATCACATCTGTGTCCGTACATGTTGTCAACCATGTGGATTCTGAATAATATTCATTACATTTTAACATTTATTTGAAAACATTAATTGAATTCCCTGCTTAGTTGCTAATCATCAGCATCAAAGGGCAGATTGATAATCAAATTGGAGTTTCCTCCCTTTGTCTAGGTTGCACTGAAAGGTAACTTGACGGATTTGATTTCTTCCAGAGTTTAAATACCTAAATACCTTTTAAATGATAATACAAACTGGATGATCCGTGGTTGATTTCTTTTGTTAGATCTATGGGTTTAGTAACTGTTGATGCCTTGCAACTTAATGAACTTTTTAGACACCCAAATATATGACAGATCAATAATACCTATCCTGTTTTTTTATTTAGGTATGTTATAAGTCTACATATAGAAATAAGTTGCACAGATTGAACTACTGCCCTCTAAACTTTCAGACTTCCTCAATTACATACAGTAACAGTTTGTTTATCAGATTTTCCTTTTGTTGGAAAAGATCACCAGTTCAATATATAATATAACAGTAACGTGTTGCAATATGATCATATGGTTATTTATATATTGACGTCAATATTCAATTCAAAACAACTGACCATAAAATAATGTTTCTTCACTTGCTATCTATTCTTAATATGTTTAATATGATAATGAAATCCTGAAAATTACTTATTTGAAAAAGTTTATGGTAAATACTGTTGCGGAATTCCTTTTATGGGACATCAATTATTTTCCTACCAAATCTTTGAAAACAACAGGGTTGACAATTTCAATGAATTTGATATTTAAAGCAAAATTTTGTCATTCTTTCAGTGGTTTAAAAAATTAATTCAAATTTGTTTCATTTCTTTTTAAACAACTCAGAGCTACTTGTTGAGGTGGAGAAACATGTATGGTTGTTCACCTTTAACATCAAGACTCGAAGCTTTATATTTTTTCCATCAAAGCTGATCCGAATATTTACCGGTCAGCAGGCAGAAACCATTTCAAATCAATCCTGATGTATGCTTATGATCATATCATCAAACAAGATGTTTCCCCAATTAAATTACATGATGTTATAGGTCCTAATAGAACATGAATAAAGTTTTTCCAACTTATTTTAAATTATGTATTTGTGATGGGCCATTTGAGTTCAAACTGTAAATGTGCAATTGGGTTTTCATAATCACTTAAAAATAATCATGTTAAATACAACAGCGAACTTCTAAAAAATCTTTGTCTGCATATATTCATAACCATTTAATTTTCACTTATCACCTTCTTAAAAAGTATTACGGAAGCCTTTTCTTAACCGATCTATTATCCACCCTTGATACACAAGACATTAAGTCCAATTTGATAATGGTAATTTCATATATGCTGTGACAGATATTTAACAGCTCTTTGACAATTTAAAGCTTTAAGATTATGACCAGTTTCATTTCTAAAAATAGAACTGTGCCCTAGAAATTAGACCAAAGCACTATCTTTTAAACAGTATATCAGGGTCTAAGTCCAGTTAATACAAGATCTCATTCTTTATCCTACAAATCATTCAAAGTCAGAACATGTTATTTTGACCTCATATAAAATAATTGGAAGTTCCTTTTTTTGAAAACATGCATTGCATTTAAATATTACACTTTGAGTAACAGTGCATGTTGTTGAAAACTGTATGTTGCATGTGGTTATTCAAGTTGTAGGGTTGCTGTCAAATTCATGTATACCCCACATCACTTTTATTCAAATGTGATATTACTTGTATTATTATAAACTGATAAAAAATCATTATGGTTCATATACAAAGAGTAAGTAAGATCTATTGTTAGAAGAAGACATTTCATCAGAAACTTTCATTTTTCACATAATTCAAATGTCATATGGAAAAAATCTGTACAATATATGCTATCCTAGATTTACATCAAAAATACTTAATTATTTACACAATATATCTATTCTATACAAAATTTATCTGAACAGATTCAACAACTAGCTTACTTTCACTTCAAACAATGACTTGACAACTCTATTTCCATTTAATCCAATCCTTTCAATAATTACAAGCGATTATGAAAACACAATATCATCATGTTTAATTTACTTTGTTTTCTTATCAATTTATTGCTTACAAGCATATCTATACCTGTAAATTTAATCTCTACTTACTTAATATCAATAAATATCATATTATAATAACATATTTACATAAATATTCACCTTATTTTATGTAATCATCGAATGAGAATTATTTATCAACAAAACGCTAATCAATCAAAGAATTAGCTAACAATGAGTG